GAGTGTAGGAGGGAGGAAAGGAAAAGTGAAAAGATACTTTCCACTAGTGCAATTACCAGAAATGATGTGGCTGCTCTTTGAAGCAGTGATTCAATATGTTCTTGTCACCCTATTATTGCAGATTAGAATTATTTTGTCAGTCAGCCTTGTGAGGAAAGTGATTTCACTTCATTTGGAAGCACAGGAGGAAAAAAGCTGGTTTATATCTCACATCTGAACAATAGAACCACTAAAGATTGGTATGGAAGGAGATGGACCACGTATGTATCCGTTTCTGCATAGTTTTTCACTTTGATTTATGTTTTAACACCTTAGTCTATCTTTCTTACCCATGGAGGAGTTAAAATACTTTAATTTTTTTCAAAGTTTGGTTATACTTTCTCCTGTAATTTAAGCACTCTGATTTCCTCAGTGTCACCAAAGTAAGCAAGCCAAACACACAGTGCCTATAGTCTGCACAGAATTGCTGGTGCTGCACATCTGTCTGGTGCTAAACTTTTGGAGAACCCCCATATAACTGAATATAAGTTGTATTCTGTCAAATCCAACATGTTTCACTCAGTAAAGGAGTGGCTAAATAACTTATTTATGGCCTGTGATATGCACGAAGTCAAAATGGGATTGTCTGCCTGTTCCTTATGACCTCAAATTGTATTAATTGGTATATTGTAGATGGCCCCGCCCCAAAGACAAATTCTGGAGAACTTGGGCATTATCTGCTGTAGTAACTAGCTTGTATTGTAGTTATTGGACTCCTTTTGGCAGGAGGAGTAAGGGGTGAAGGTCCAGGAGCAAACTAGAATTGAAGGAATTTCTGAGGAGTAGGATCAGAGACAAGTGCACACTTCACCATGTAAGTCTGATCTCTGCACAAAACCAAAGGATTCTTGGTTAATACCATTTGACCTGACTGGAATGTTCTTCCATGCTTTTCTAGACCCCTGGGGAGGGCTTCCTTGAAGAGGGGGGCTACTAGAATGTTTCCATCTGTGCCTTAGATCTTGGTGTCATGCATGCATTTGATTAATCATAAGTCATCCTTACTAATCATAAGTCATCCAATCATTGTTCCCCCTAAAATGATACTGTGTGGAAAATTCAGAGAATGGAGGAAGTGGGGCTTCCCAGGCTATTTAGAGGGTTTTATCTGTTTGGCATTACTGTGACTCTTTTGACTGAGGTTGTGAGTAAATGTTTCTATGTTTGGAAAAAATTGCAATTTCCCTGCTGAATCCACCCCTCTCCACTGCCATGTGCAGGAACACATGTGCACACATGGACATAATCTCTGCTCTGCCAAACCCAGGAAACAGGCAAGGGCTTCAACCTCCACATCTGAAATGGCTTCAAAAGACAAAGGGCTGTCAAATGTATCGAAAAACTGCATCCCTTTGTATGTTCAGGGTTTTTTACATTCCTCTCTGTGTGTGTGTTTGTGTTCACATGTGGTAGAAGGGACAGGTAAATTTAGTTTTGTTTGCTTTTAAAGCCCAAAACTCCTGAAAAGCAGTTTGAGAACAGGAGAGGGAAGCTCACTGCAGAAATGTTGATTAAGATAATGCTTGCTTGAAAGCTGTTTCACTTTCTCAGTTTCTGAAGTGACTAATTCTTGCCTTGATGTTGCCAGCTAGAAGGTACTGCTGAAAATTGAATGGGTTTTTCACTGTTTTCTCCTTTTCTTTCTATTTTTTTGGTTCCTTCCCACCTTTATTGCATGGAAAATCACCAAAAATCAAAAGGCTGATGACATCCAGTTCAGGTTCTTTAGGGATTCAGTCACGCCAGTCTTGGAGGACTGTGGACAATTGTTGATAACTTCTATGAGTTTTTTAAATTAGGTGAGACATCAGGAGGTTTTCTATTACTCCTCAATTTATACACTCGAATTTCAGAGGAGGTGATTTGTTCTGGGCTTTTTTCTTTTATAGGACCCTAATATTTTTCCCACAACATCAGTTAAAGCTCTAGTTTTCTTTGGTTTCATTCTTGGTTGGATTTTCTGCTCATGTACTGTGTTAGAGCAGAAGTGGGAGAACCAAACTGTAGCTTTATCTATAATACTTGAGTTCTTCAGTTACAATTACAGTAACTTCAGTTACAGTGAAACACACCTTTGGTATATAATGGAATTAATTTCTAGTCACTGTTTGAATTTTTTCTATCTGAACTTTTCCAACATGAATAAGGTTTTAAAGATATCAATGTTATGAGCAAGCCTTTTAACAATACGATGAATAAATAGATTGTTTTCTTCTTCTAACCTTGTATTTAAATGTGTTTTAAGTGAATGGAATTCATTCTTGTGAAGAAAAAAGGAAAAAAAAAAAGCTTGAAGGTATGAGGACTTCAGGTTGTGCTCTTGCTTTGCTTAGGTTTCCTGTTCTGTTGCATGACAACTTCTGTTGTGCTGTTGATATGTAGCACTTTTCAGTAGGTCTGTTAAATTGTGCAATGCATTTTTTTATATTTACAACCAAAACAATAAAGGATATTTTTTGGAAGAAACTGGTTTTAATGCCTTTATTTTCTGACTGGAGGTGAAGAAATGGTAAGTAGAGTTATTCCTGGACCAGGGTTGGCACCTGCCAGGTGCACCTTTTTTGAAGCTCTAAAAGGTGACAAGAGCTCATTGCCCTGTGAACAGTGCTGGAGTTCCCTTTGGATCTGTGTGTTTGGCATTCCCAGAGCAAGGCTCTGTAATATCTGTGGAGTTGCTGAAGTTCGGACTCCTTTTGGGATTGATGTCAGTGTTAAGCACTGAGTTGTTTAAGTCCATTTTAAAAATAAAATTAATAAATCTGCCTTTAATGACTGATTTTTGTTTTTCCCCGCTAGGACACTCCAGCTCTCTGTGCTTCAGTTGTCACCTCCCTGGCATTTTGGATTTTCTTGCCTAGTGGAAGCAGCAGTGAGGCTCTAGTTGAAGTGAAAGGTAATAGAAGAGTGAAAAGAAGGATTTTATTTTAAAATCACCACACAGGAGTTTGTGCTGGTTGATGTTACCCTTGTGATTGGTGCTTTTGATTTGGTACTTCTGATGAGTCAGGCCCTGTGGTTCCAGGAGGTACAGCAGGGTTCAAAAAACCTGCATTTAATTTTTCAGAAATCACAAGCTTAATCTCACATAAAGCATTTTGGTGGGAGCACTTTAAAAGAGCAATGCTATTTCAACAGTGATGAACCAACTCTTCAGCCTGCCTTCACTCTTGACCAAGCACTACAAATGCCAGAGTTATTGCAGTGATGCTGTCAAAGCTCTCTGGGAGGAAGCTGTGGTTGCAGAGCACTGTCTCTGTATTGCTGATTTAGTGGTGATTTCAGGGAGGCTGCTGTAACTTCAGCTGAGGTGCCAAAAGAGTTTGTGAAGTGGTTTCTTTTTGTGGCTGGCTCTGCAAATCCTTGAACACTGCCAAAAGTGGACCTACACTTGCTCTGTGGAAATGATGCCAAATGAAATCATTGCTGTAAGTAATTTCACAGCCCAGGGCTCTCTTTATTTCTAAAAGAATGGAATAGAATGCTCAGTAGATTTTTATTTATTTATTTTAACCTGTATTTTCCCTCAGGAGCTCATCTCTGCACTTTCTCCAGGAGGTGGGCAGACAAGGAGTGGTTATTTGGGTGTTGGGGAAGTTCCCTGTGTGCAAACACAGAAGAGCCTCTGTTGTCATCCAGAGAGATGTTTAACATGTTCCTGTTTCAGAACAAGGTGTGTGTGTCACACCCCCAATGCCTTTCCACCACCAAATGGAAACAAACCCAGGAAAGATGAGACTCATCCCATCCCTGGGTCCTGCTGCTCCCTTCTGACACTCCTTACAGAGCCCTTCTGTGTCTCCTCCATCCAAACCCTTCATTCCTCATAGGCCTCAAAAGCTTTGTTTTCAACCAGGATAAAATGGGAGCTGCGTGTCAGGAGGTCTGGTGACCAAATCATGATCACAGCAGAGATGCTCCCTGTGGTACAGGTGTATCCCCCCAGCTTGCAGCCCTCCAGGGCTGGGGAGGATTTATGTGTGCTCTGGTAACCCTGCACCATGAAGGCCACAGGGCTGCAGGTGTCCTCTCACTGTTCTGCCTGGGGCTGGTGCCTTTTCCTCTCAGCCGTGACTGTCTGAGTGTTCCCCCCAGGGGAAGAAAACTCTTCTTTCTCAGCTCTTCCCATGACCTGAGCTTGGACAGACCTTTGACTCAACTTTGGCATCTTGTTAGCACTGCTGAGGAAGCATTTCCCTCTCTAAGGAAAACACTTTTGTTGAGCTATTTATATCTTTAGAAGGCAAAACAAAAGCATGGGAGAGGAAACCACAGGGAGAGGCCCTGCATAATCCTCTGGTTCAGCAAGGCTTAAGTGGTTTGTGTGATGTTTAAGCCCTCGGGGTGTGACTTTTCCTCCTCTGAGAGGTTTGCTGACCCCACCTGAAAAGGTCAGGCAGGTGTTGCTTCAGCCTTGGGGATAAGCACAACCACAGGCAGTGATTCTTTTTTCCAGCCACTCTTCTATTTTCTATTAAAAATGAAGGCTATGAGGTTGGAGTTTTACCTTCTTCATGTCACCACTATTTGACATCTCCATAGTTGTGTCTGAAATGGGGCCTGTTTGGGAGGAATTATTCTTCCCCTGGCTCCAGCAAGGAGCTTGGTCCCTCAGTTCCTCTTGGAAAACTTGACTGCTTTTCTAGGATCCCCCCTCAGACATTTTGGGGGCTGGCAGTGTAACTCAGTTGATATCAAACCCACTTTTCCTGGCGAAGTCTGAGCTGAACAGGGCCAGTGCAAAATACATTTTAGTAAAAAAAGAATCCAGCAATATTTGTTTTATTTAATATTTTAATTAAGTTCCAGTTTCTATCCAAAGGTGGTAACAGGAAATGAATAAAACCATTAATCTACTAAGTAGCAAGTATTTTAGTATTAAAATATAAGAATTTAAAATATGAATAAATAAATATATAAACTAATCACTTAAATAGATTTATAAAAATAGATGTGTTCTATAAATTCATAAATAAAATTCACTAGTAGAGAGAGAAGTACAAAATCAGCCTGCTGACAATCAGCTTTTCTTTTGAGAAACAACTACAAGATAAAAATATAAATAACATTAAAATTACTGAAATTACACTTTTCTGATATATCAGGGTTGGTTAATTATATTACCTTGACTTACATTAGTCCATCCTATTATATGCTGTTGCAAATAAGACGGTATAAATAGTTTTACAATAAATACAATCAATAATACATTAATCCTTTAAATATTAAATTAATCTAGATTATATAGTTATAGAGAATAGCACGTACACTATCAATGTTCATTCTGGCATCAAACTGATAACTCCTGATAGGTCTCATTTACAGAGACCTATCTTCAAGTTATTTTTTCATCCTGGCATATCAAACTACTGCTTCAGAGTACAGCTTTACTGTAAGTTGCATGATGTCCTCATATTTCTTTAGAAACCACCAGATGAAGGTTTTTGTGTCTGCCTTGCTCATGGTCTGTTCCTGGGGCTCCACCTGGGGCAGGTCCTGGATGCTGCAGGTGTAGAAGGCAGAGCCTTGTCTCAGCGTGGTGTGCAGCTGGTTGAGGTTGGCATTGACCACTCCTCTGGAGCTCTCGTTGCAGAAGGTTTCTATGTCGCCTCCCAGCGTTTTCAGAATGTTGTGGATGTGGTGCAAAGCACAGCAGTTTGCCTGGAAAGCTGGACATTTGGGTATTCTGTCTGCCATGCCTCTGGCCTTGGACATAACTGTCCAGGGCTCAGAGTGGAATGTTGCAGAGATACACTTGTTCTGTGGGGAAGGAAGAGGAGAGAGAAATTGTTAATCCGTTAGTTTCCCTTTCTCATTTTCATAGCCTTTTGTGGGGTTTTTGGTTGTGTTTCAATCTTGTATCTGCCCTTGCTCCCACTGCCCTGAAATAATGCAATGAACACTTTTCTTCTTGCATGGAAAACAGAGAAGAGCTACTTTAGGTTTTAACCCAAATACTTCTTTTCTGGTAGTCTTTCTAGTGTTTTATAATAATTCAAGAGATTTCTCCACAGACATAGGCACGGCACATGGAAAATGGTGCACTTACATAGAAGTCAAACAACTCATGTGCTTTCTTTTGTATTACTGATGCCAAGGTCGGTATCTCTGTAGTGAAATGATTCTGCCTCTGTCCTGTAGTCACTCTGCATTCTGATGTCTCTGTCGGTGCCATGGAGCCCAAAGGAACCAGTAAACAGAAGAGGAAGATTGCACACCTGTTGATCTCTGCATTCAGATGAAGAGAGGAAACCAAAAGGAAAGAAAGAATACAGTGATTAGTCTCAATCTTCTGCATAGTTTTTTGCAAATCTTAATAGTTTTGTGCAACATGATACATTTTTAAAGCATATAGGCATGAAGTGGCTGAGCTAGAGATGAACATCAGCCAGGGCAACCTTACAGCCTGTAGGAAGGGTAAGTCACACGCATGTTGTAAGTACATTCTTCTTTCTTTCAGTATTTTTCATAGAGGAGCACAGAGGAAAGAAAGAGAAAACAATTTCTATTTCTGCTTCTTGTTTCCCCATGGAAAATTGTTTACCTAGGGTGATTGCTTGATTAGATTCTGGTGAGGATTATTTGAGCCTGATGGCCAATCCAACCCACCTGTGTCTAGACCCTCACCAGAAGGTCACGAGTTTTAAGTTAATTAAATACAGTAGTTAAAAAAATAAGTATGTAGTTTTTAGTATCTCCTTTAAATAGTATATTAATGTATTATAGTCTAGTTATAATAAAAAAATCATTCAACCTTCTAAACTAAAGTCAAACATCATCATTTCTTCCCACCAAGTTCACCTGCATTTACAATACACCCACCTGCTCTGCATCCCATGGCGGGACAGTACAGCGGTGGCTTGGCTGGGAGCTGGACCTGGGGCTGGTTCTGGAGCTTCTGCCTGCCTGGAGTGCTGTGGATGGGGCCAGGCAGGCTGCATTTAAGTGCTCCGGAGCTCTGGAGTCCTGCGTCAGTGGTTCCCCCACAATCTTTTTTTTTTTTTTTTTTTTTTTTTTTTTTTCTAGTGATAATTCGGGGTTTTTTTCTTTTTTGAAAGATTACATCGAAAGTTGATTCAAATGTGTCTTCACTGATTGTGATCTACGTGCACAGTTTCGAACTGACATAGAAGGTGTCCTGTGTAATTTCGTTGACTAAGAGCTTGGCTTGGCCATCCCATCTAAATCTTTGGACACTCCAAAGTGTGGAATTTAGAACATAAACTCTTGTTTTATTTATAAAGGTGGTTGGGAGCGTGTTATTGCTGCCCAAAGCCATTGCTTCTCCTGCAGAGTCACTGTAAGAGTGAGCCAATGCAGGGAGTGAAAAAGGCTTGTGTGCAAGGTAAGTCAGGCCTCTAGTTCCATGCATAAATCCTTTTGCTGGATGCCTGTAAGACCCTGTTCCCAAGGGATGCTCAGGAGCCCCTTTCCCCATCCCTGTTGCCCATCTCTCCAACTCCCCTGAGGCTGTTTTCTGCATCCAGTAACCAAATGCAAGAAATTCTCATAGACACCAAAACAGAATAGGTGCTAAGTAATGCCAAGGAAGAGATGAGTTACCATGGCCTACAGAAAGGACAGTTCTGGCAGACACTTATTTTATTTGAGGGTTTTATTATTATTTGGTGGGAAAATGGAGACAGAGAGAAAGATGTTTCTTTGTGCGTGGCATTCTTTAGGAACGTCCCTACAAAGGCAGTGGTGGGTACAAATGGCTCCTTTCAAGCAGACGAGTGATCTTGAAGGGTTTGTTATTTAGAAGCACCAAACCTGCAAAGATGCAGTTGGTCAGTGGCCCACAGGAAGATCTGTGGAAGGTGCAGGAGCTTGTACATAAAAGATGCCACTGGGCACTGCCAGCCCCCTCCCAGCTCTCCCAGATGGGCAGAGCCAGGGAGATCAGACTGGGAGCTGATCTTCCCCCAGGAGCAGGAGTATCTCTTTGTGCAGCGCTGAAAGCAGTGGGGCCTAGTTATTTTAAACAGTGATGCAAATAAAAGAAGCAGAACTTTTACAGCTTCGCTTTTCCACAAAATACAATTCAACCACCGGTAATTTTCTTTTCAAGACTTTCAGAAGATTTTACTTCATCTTCTCCTAAGGACAGAACTTTACCTGGTTATTCCACTCCAGGACATGCCATTATCTCATAGCCTGTGCATGCTGTGCACGTCCTTTCCAGTCTGTACAGGGCTGTGATAAGCTGCTGAGCTGATAAGGGAGCGGGTCAGCATCCGTCCTGTAAAACCCAACCTGAGAAGTTCAGCTTTCCACCACGTAACCATCACCACAGAACAACTGCAATTCATTTGGTGAAGTTCTGCTGACACACACTGCTCTGTCAGCTCTCTGAAATGGAATTTGTGGGCATTGCCGCCAACACCTATCGCTGGAAAAAGGAAATTGATCTCCCCATGTGAACACCTGATGCTGACCTGATACACAGCTGTGACTTTTGTTCCTGGAGCTCACCTACTTTTTCCAAGTGTGGGAGCTGGTATTTTCAGCCATGAGCTTGTTTTCTGATGGCCTTACATGGTTGTGTGGCAGTGCCCTCCACGTAAAGGGAGAGCTGGGCTTTCAGAGCTGACTGAGACCCTGACTGCTTCTTCCCTGAAACCCAAGTGACACTCGGGACACAGATAAGGGAAATGGCAAATTCCATGCCACAGGTCCCCTGCGAGGGAATAATGCTGATGCTGCACCCTGCAAGTGCAGCATGAGGTCACCTGACTTTTCCCTGGTGGGAACCCAGAAAAACAGGGATTATTCCCAGCCAGGCGAGCTTGTTCCAGACCTGCTCCACCCTCTGCTTGGAGAGTTTGGTTCCATGGCACCATCTCCTAGCAACAGGGACACAAGCCACAGAGCCAGGGGATTCCCTGCCGGGCTGGGGCTGCATGGCAGCACCCCGCAGTGTCTCGGCTGCTTTTCAGGAGCACCTGCAGCACCTGGGGCTGCAGGACTTCCCCTGTGGCCTCGGCAGCTGGGTAAGGGTCTGGGGGGCGCAGCCGTGGGACGTGGCACAGGGCTGCCACTGCCTCTCCTGTCTCCCTGTCTGCAGAACAAATCCTGCCACAATGCCAGCAGGAGCCCCCGGGCACAGCCAGCAGGGCTGGAGGAGGCTGTGCCACCGGGAGAAGAAACCCCTGAGGTGCTGCTGGAGCTGCTGAGAGACCAGCACAGCCCCTGGGCACTGCCCCCCGACTGCAGCCCCCAGGACCGGCTCCTGCGGGAAGTGGCCGTGCTGGCACCCGAGCTCCTCCGTGGCTCCAGAGTCTTCCAGGTCATCAAGTCCCTGCGGATACTCGACAAGGGGGTAAGTGCAGCTGCTAGTGCCCATAAAGCTGCAGGCCAGGAAATCTTGTCTTCCTGCTGTCAGGGAAAACATGTTGGGAAAAGGACACCTTGGCCACCCCATGGTCTTCCCATACTTCTAACTGCAGCTAGAGTAGAGCTTCTCCCCACAGCCTCTTGAGGATGTTGTGCTAATCCATGTCACACAGATCAAGACGTGTCCATGTCACCCTGGCCACACAGTGCCTTAGGGACAAGTTGGCCAAACCCAGCTCTTTGCAGGTGGAGGAAGTGGATGAGGGTCTGCTACGGTTCCAGCAGCTGGAGGAGCTCATCCTCAGTGCCAACCACATCAGCAGAGTGAACTCGGCCCACCTGCCCCGGACTCTGAAGGTGAGCGGGCAGGGCCTTGTGCAGGATGGGGCAGGAATTCCCATGTGGGAGCACAGGGAAAGCCAAACAGCTCAAGGGGGTGCCAGGAACAGCTCGTTGCCAACGTGTTTGTTGTTCCTTCTGTCCTGGGCAGGTCCTGGAGCTCTGCTACAATGTTGTGGGTGATCTGCAGGACCTGTCTGCTCAGCCACCCCCGGAGCTTCAGCACTTGGGGCTGGGCTACAACCGGCTGTGTGGCCCTTTCCAGGAAAAGCACCTCACTGTGGATTTCTGGTGATGCCACAGGCTGAACATGGGCTCCTGAAAGGGAAATGAGCAGATGTGAACAGTTGACCTCAAGCCATGAAGATGGCCCTTTTTGGGAAAATTCAGAAGGGAAATTTTTGGGAAAATTCAGAAGGGTTGTTTCTTTGCTCTGTGTCTACTCTCTGTGCAGAGCAGTCTGTCTCTGCTGTCTTCTGTCTCATGCCCAGAGGTTGTTTTAGTCCTTAGCAAGGTGTGGAATGGGAAGATCACCAGGGGAATTGCCCTGACACCCTGCCCATCACAGTTCCATTTCCCTGGGCAGTTTACTTTTTTTCGTGTCCTTCCCAAAGCCACTGCTGGAAGTCTGTAAGCATCTGAAGCATAGACTGCATCACCAAATGGTGCAGTGGGGTCATCAATGGATGCTTAAGAAATGTTTCTGTGTTGCGGGGCAGACTGGCAATGGACTGTATGGCTCAGGAATTTGGAATTGGCCTCCAGATTGGATTCCTCAGTACAACACAGTTTGTGCTGGGGAAATATGATTTTTATTTCTGTTTTTGCCTCAGGGCTGTAGCTTTCTATCCTCAAATAGGTGCTGGCTGCCTTACACCCTTCTCTGGGTTCTCTCCTTAGGCCAAACCTTGTCTCCCTTGACCTGAGCTTTAACAGCCTCACGGACCTGCCGGGGCTGGTGTCCCAGCTGTCCACTCTGCAGAACCTCCGCATCCTGATGCTCCAAGGGAACCCACTGGCTCTCATCCCCACTTACAGAGGCTTCCTTGTGGACAGCCTGCCCAAGCTGTTCATTCTCGATGACATCCAAATATGGCCTGAGGAGAGGCAGCAGTTCCGTGGGCTGGCAAGGCAGCCAGGTGAGCCCCGCCTTTGAGCCTGCCTGTGCTGACCCTGTGATTCAGGAGTGGGGTTTGTGTTGTGGTTGAGCTCTGCAATTACAGGCGAGCTAGTTTCAGACTTTGGCCCGAGAACAACCAATCCCAGTCCCAGCACTGCCTCAGTGTCCTGGGCTGCCTCAGTTTTTCTTCCCAGACACCAAATTTCAGATCATGCATTTCCCTCCCGAGCTGTGGCAAGAGGAACATCAGTACTGGAGAAGGTGATCACAGAGTGCTGCACTATCTGCACACAGCGGTGCCACCTCTGTGGCACATCCCTGACTGTGATGGGAGCAGGAGGCTGGGGACATCTGGGATGGGAAGCCTCTCTTGATGGCCCTACTCAATGAGATTGTGCTGGATGTGTTTTTTGGAGATTCAAATGTTGAAGGAGCAGAGCAGCCAAGCCAGGAGGTGTTTGTGTGGCTTTGTAGTGACGCCACATGGCAGTGGTTTGTCACAGCATTTGCACAGGCTGGTACCGAGGGATGCCAGCAGGTGGGACATGAGACCTGGAGGTTTCTGCTTGCTCTGTTCCTTCCTCTGGAAGGGAAGTGCTGCAGCTTCATGGCAGGATTGTCTTGTTTTCAGAGCTGATCAGGAGTGAAGCACGAGTGGTTGTGAGCATTGGGGACATGAAGGGACTCCCTAATCCCGAAGCTTTTCAGCAGCTGGAGGTTGGCTCCGAGGGTCCGTTGATCACCTACAGCTACTATGTGACCTACCAGTTTGCAGGAGGAGGGGAGCCCAAGGACAAGGGCAGTCCTGAGGTTTGTGTTTGATTGTGCTCCTGGAAACAAGCAGCATGGCAGGTCACAGTGGGGGGAACTGCATCTCCAGGCTGTGGGGTGATGGGCCTGGTGTGGGGAGCAGCAGTGCTGGGGACAGAATTCCCATGTAGCTGCATCTAGCAGGACAAGCCCCAGCTGCCCACATTCCACATCCCTCTTGGGGAGCCCAGAGCTCTGCACAGGGGAGTGCACTCACAGCCCCACAGCCCTCCTCCTGCTGACTATGGCACTGAAGTCCCTTCTTGCCATGAGGGTGGGCTGGAGAATATGATTTTTGGAGACAAATCCATCCATTTGTTCCAGGGAACAAAATTCCACCAGAGTCCCACAGTGGCCACGCTGGATGTGGACAGCTCTGCTCAGGACACAGGAGAAACAAAAAGCCATCAGAAACCTCCAGCCACAGAGGTCCACAAGGCCCACTCTGGTAATGAGGAATTATAGATCTTCTGTTCCATGACTCAGGGCAGGTTTATAGCTCTTTGTGGGGGTGGTGGCATCAGGATGTACCTCGCAGTGCCAGCTGGGCTGTTCTGGGACTGATGGATAATGACCTGGCACCAGCCATGCTCTGAGGGTCCTTCTGTCCTGGGGAAAGAGAGGTTCTCTGGACTTTTTTGTTTCCCTACACAGCAAGAGTGTTTGCCACCCCTGGACAGCCCTGGGCAGACACCATCAACTGCAGCTACAGGAAGGAACACATTGCCAAGGACTTGGTGGGGCTGAAGTCCTACCTGGAAACTGGAACAATTGTCTCAGTTGTGGAGGAGAAGGTGAGGGTGTGGCTGAGCTGGATGAAGGGAGAAGAGCTGCTGGGAGGCCCAGTCAGTGGCATCACATTCCCTCTGGGAGGCAGGCTGGGATGGCAGCTCCTCTCTCTGGGCAGGTGCTTGCATGGCCTGTAGATCCAGAAGAAAACGCTGTCACAAATAAGGAAGGACAGGAGCTGAAGAAGAACCGTGCAAAGGTAGGGTGCCAGGATAGAACAATGTCTAAATTCTCTCTGAGTTGCAAAAACAGTGATGGGAGAACAAGGACCCTTCTCCTGGCTCAGCCTGGTGTTTCAGAGAGACCTCTCCCAGAGTCCCCCTTTCTGTGGGGGGAAGGCAGCAGCTGTTGACACACACCTTGGCCAGGATGCAGTGGTGGGCAAGGGACTGGGTTGGGGTTGCTTCTCTCTGATAAAGGGACCCCAACCTTCTGCTGAGGCTTGTTCCTGTGTCCAAGGACAAGCAGAAACAGAAGAAGAAGCGATCATATGAATTCCGCAGCGACCCTCCCATTCACAGCACCCTGGGCACCACGAGGGTGACGCTGGAGACCCTGCTGGCCACTGACGACCTGGTGGCAACTGTGTGTGACTTTGGGATCCTGATCCCTGAGAAACCACCAGAACCACCAGTTCTGGAGGAGAAGGTAAGGAGCATGTCCCAGGGCAGGGCTGCAGGCTGCAGTTCAGCAAATGCTCTCTCTGGCCTGGGCATCCATCTGTCCATCCCTCAGTTCTTCTCTCCCCAAAATGGGGCTGAAATAGCCCTGTCTGACCACCATCCATCGCTGTGGTGTGGTTATTTAAGGCTGATATTAGTGAGCAGCTCTGCTACTTTTTTTGGGCCTAGGAAAATAGATGAGTTTATTTTTCCATTCCAGAATGTGTAAGCAGCCACTTGTGCTTCCTCTGGTGCTCTCTTTCAGCATGGCAGCACATACCAGCTGTACCACCTTTCTGTTTCCTGGATTCTCTTCTCTGAGCAGCCACTCTGCTGTGGTCCTGCTCCCCCTCACCTCTGTCCCCTGCCCCTGAAATCCTGGTGACAGCACTCATAATCATGATGACAGCTGGCACAGGACTGAATGAGGGCAGTGAGTTTCAACACACCCTTATTGTGGAAACATCTCTCTTCACAGGAGGTAAAAAAAGGCAAAGACAAGAGCAAAAAATCCAAAGCAAAGAAAGGAAACCAGAAAACTGCGTCTTCCGAAGGTGACAGAGGCTGGAGCTGGCGGGACAGTGGGTGGGGAGTGTGAGAGAGCAAACAGGAGCAGGCAGTGCCCGGACACACTGCCAGCTCCAGGAGCAGGGACTTACTCACATCCTGAGCCTCGGGCCGTGAATACAGACATTGACTGCGGGGCTCTCAGAATAGCCTGGACTCTTTATGAGTCGGTGTCTGCACGCACCGAGGGTGGGCTGCCAGCTGCCCTGGGAGACACACACCAACAGCACCCTGTGCCAGAGGAGATGGGCAAAGCAGATTTTTGGGTGAGAAAAGTGCTGCCCACTGTGTCGGCTGCCAAATGTGGGTGATGGTGTGGGCAGGCAGCTGGGCGAGGGCTGCCTGGGATGCATAATGAGCTCCTCATTCACTGCCAGCTCGCATCCCCAAGCACTTTGCAGAGGGAATTATTGTTCTCTCTGGTTTGGAGATGCGATGCACAGAGAGCCCCAGGTGCCCCAGCCAGCCCGTGGCAGGGCTGGGAACAGATCCCAGTCTGCTGTCACCCACGAGGAGACCACCTTGACCCCGCCGGGGGTGTCCCGTGCCTCCCCAGTGGGGAGCTCAGGGCTGCTCAGCCAGCAGCCTTGCTTAAGCTGCCAGAGACAAACCTCACCCTGCCTCCTGTAGGTTATTTTTCCATCAGTCTTGGTTCTGACTGCAAAAATAGCAATGCCAGTACATTGAAGGGATAATGCAAGAGCGGGAGGAAGTGGGAGAGGGAAGGGGTGGCCAAACAACGCTGAAAAGCTGCTTGTGGGTCAAGGAGGGCATGGAGAGGGCCAGGCCTCGAAGCACTGCTCAGAGCTACCAAAGGAGTTTTGTTTTCCTGCTCTGTCATCAGATTTAAGAGTGCAGTTAACCCAGAGAGCTCCAGGTTGCTTTCCTGTGCTCTATCACCTGCAGCAAGGTCCCCATCTTTGGGGGGGCTCACAGAGCTCTGCAGTCCTGGGCTGCATTCACAGAAGCTGGTGGCCTTCCCTAGTGCCCTGAAAAGCAGAAAACTCATTGAATTGCTGTCCCCCACAAGAAGATGTGTATTTGCAATATACACTCAGCCTGTTTCTAGAGCAGGCAGCTGCTGTCAAACAGCTCAGCTTCTGCAGTGGTTGTTTCTTCCTTCCTTCCCTCCCTGGTGTGTGGTCAGTGCGTGCAGGAGGTTTCCCTTCAGCTTGAACGAAGGTAAAAGTGCTGTTGTGTGCACAGAAGTGCTGCTGCTGCAGGAAACCCAAAACAATTAGACAGACATTTGTGCTTAATTTGGTGTCCTTGTGTGCCTGTGCAGGTGGGGGCTGCCTTGGCTGCACTGTGAGGCCACTGAGTGCATATTTCAAAGTGTGAGTGCAAAATGCACGGTGCCTAAAGATGAGCTGCCCCACAGCCTGCTACACCCGCTGTCCCATGGCTGTGACTCACTGAACACCCCAGTTGTGGCTTTTGTGGGGGGCTGCTCAGGCCCTGCTGAGCTCAGTGTCTGCACATCCTGCCTGCCCCGTGAGTCACCAGCTGCTCCGGCGGTGTTTGACACTTTCACATCACCTGGGGACTGCCCTTGGAGCTGTGACAGTGGCCAAGCCCCGGGGACAGTTCCCAGCCCTGTGCCCAGCGGGGCTGTGCAGGGAGGACCGGCACTCTCACAGCCGGGAGCTGAGGCTGATTTGCATCCCTCAGTTCAGCAAATGCACACAAATAATAAGTCTTCTCAGAGGAATTGGGATCACTTCCAGACGGCTCAAAGAGGAAGGGCAGCAGGCTTTGTCACAAGTGAACCATTTGCCCAGACACTGAAGGATGTCTTCAGAAGTAGTCTCACGTAGGTCTCATTTTACCTCACACTTGATTTTCCAGGATCCTTGAAATAATTTATTTCTGCATCTTTTGTTTGCCCTAGGGCAGTTTCACAACAAAAAGCAAGCCTGCACCCAGTTCAACTGCCAGCCAAAGATGCTTTTTGGGCTTATCATCCAAAATCATATTCAGTTTTCCCTGAGGCCCAGTCAGTGCTGACACCCTTGCACACTGCTGCTTTTAGGATCATTTACTCTCTCAAGAGAGTGACAAATGTACTTCTTACCACAGGAAAAGGAAAAAACAAAGAGACTGCTGAAGCAGAGGAGGGTCAAGAGCTCCAGCCAGTGCCGCTGACAGTTCAATTCCAGATGCAGCTGCTTCGATGGCCCTTGGCAGCCAGCACCCAGAGCCAGGAGAACGTGGCCAGGGCAGTGGGGAAGACTCAGTGATGTGTCCACAGCAGAAGCACGAGTGGAAATAAACCACACGGGAACGCTGCGTGGAGCTGGTTTAGCTGAACCGCCAGAGCTGGGAGATACCCGAGGACTCCTGGTGGTCTGTGCCTGGTGCTGAGCTCCTGCAGGAGCCGGAGCAGGCAGGGGGTGTCGGGTGGGTGTGCGGGGTGCAGGGTGGGTGCGCCGTGCCGGGGACACGCTGCCCCGGTGCCAGCCCCACGCGTCCTCCGCCCGCGGGCGGGGCTCGGCAGCGGCGGGCGGGGCGGCGGCGGCTCCCGGTGCATCGCGGAGGGAACGAGGGAACGGCAGCTCCCGGTGAATCGCGGAGGGAGAGGGAACGGCAGCTCCCGGTGCATCGCGGAGGGAACGAGGGAACGGCAGCTCCCGGTGCATCGCGGAGGGAACGAGGGAACGGCAGCTCCCGGTGAATCGCGGAGGGAACGGCAGCTCCCGGTGAATCAAGGAGGGAACGGCACTCCCGGTGCATCGCGGAGGGAACAGCAGCTCCCGGTACATCGCGGAGAGGCTCCTCCGCCGAGCAGGGCAGGGGTTTTGCCGTGCGGGGTCACCGTGGAGCGCCCGCTCCAGCCCGGTTTGCGCGCCCCGGCGGGGACGGGGGCTCTGGACCGTCCTCACCGGCAGCACCGGATCCTGGTGAGAACCAGGGAAAAGCACCGAGACACGTCCCCATCCCACGTAAGGTGGGAGGGAACGGTTCGTCTTCATCTGCCCGCCCGGAGCCGGTCCTGTGCCGGATGCTGCCATGTATCCCAGGATTAAAAGCCTCGTGCTTTACATCTTCTCAATCACGCTGCTGGCCTGGGTGTTTTACATGAAGAAGGAAGCGAAGTTAGCAGCATCATCAGCAGAGCAGAAAGTGGATGTGGTGGATCACAGACTGCAGCCTTCGGTTCTGGACAGTGCTGAGCACAGCAAGTGTGTGCCGAACTTGACCTTTGCCAATGCTTTTCTCGCCCTCCCGGAGCCTCACCGAGTCTTCCTAACCTACAAGCACTGCAGGAACTTCTCGGTCCTGCTGAGGCCTTCCAGGTGTAGCCAAGAGATGTTCCTCCTGCTGGCCATCAAGTCTTCCCCCATTAACGTGGACCGGCGTGTGGCCATCAGGAACACGTGGGGGAAGGAGGTGTCCATCGGGGGCAGGCGCATCAGGCTGGTGTTCCTCCTAGGGCGCTCCGAGGCCAAAATCCAGCTGCAGCCCCTGCACCAGCTGCTGGCTTATGAGAGCCAGGAATTCAATGACATCTTGCAGTGGGATTTTGTTGATGACTTCTTCAACCTGACCCTCAAGGAGCTGCATTTCCTCCGCTGGTTCATGGAGGACTGCCAGCACGCCAGGTTCGTGCTGAAGGGTGATGACGATGTGTTTGTCAACACTTACAACATTGTTGAGTTCCTCCAGGAGCTGGACCCTGAACAGGATCTCTTTGTTGGGGATGTGATCGCCAACGCCCGGCCCATCAGGAACACCAAGGTCAAATATTTTATTCCAGAGCCCATGTATGGGGCCACCTTCTATCCTCTCTATGCAGGAGGAGGGGGATACGTGATGTCTAGAGAGACAGTGCGTCGCCTCCAGAGCACCGCAGAGGACATGGAGCTCTTCCCCATAGATGATGTGTTCGTGGGAATGTGTCTGGCAAAGATGTCAGTGATCCCAAAGAACCATGCTGGCTTTAAGACTTTTGGGATCCAGAGACCTTTCAATCCTTTTGATCCGTGCTTGTACAAAGAGCTGATGGTTGTGCACAGACTGAACCCAACGGAGATGTGGATCATGTGGACGCTGGTGAAGGATGACAGCATTAGGTGTGCGGTGTCGGTGACACACAGCTACAGCAGGGGCTGGAAAAGGAGCTACTGATGAGCCCAGTGGGATTGTGGCTGGTGACAGGGTACTTAAACTAAAAATCAGGTTGTGGTAGAAACGTGTCCGTTACTAACAGACTGCACTGGAGCTGTCGTGGTTTGGTTTGCAGTGAGTTTTTCTGTCAGGGGTTACTTGAACCAGTTGAATTGTCACAGGGTGGGGATGTGGTCATTGGCTTCCCAGCCAGACTGTGTCAGGGCAAGTCACAAGTGCCACCTGCACTGGTGTCTGACTGCTGGCCAAAGTCAGTCTCATGTGGGACAGCCAGCAATGACTAAGGAGTGATGCAGCATTTCAAATTTACTTGAAGGCATGGAAGAAAGGCCAGTATGTCCTGCTGGGTCTGCTGTCCCAGGGCAGCAACCCCACAGCTCCTAGCAGAGAGCAGGAGAAAGGGAATAGAGCGGGGAAGGAAAAGCTTCAAAAATACATGGCCTTAACACAGCAGCGACCATGATCTGAGGGACTGGGCTCTGCCTCCAGCCCTTTGGCTTTTGCATAAACTCAAACAGGTTTACATGCACTGGAAACTTTAGCACAAACACTTTCTGATCTGGTTTGAGAGGAGCCACGTGTTTTGAATAATTTTGGTGGTAGGTAAAGTGGCTGTAGCTTCCCATGTTGTGTGGGAGGTGTTTGGTTTGTTGTTGTAATGTTGTGTGTAAATAAAATACTTTTCAGAAGTATTTACATGGGAATATTCTTAGGTCTTCTGAAAGCTAAGAGCCCTAAAAGCTGGGGGAGGCCGAGTTCTGGTGCTGGGTATTTGCATTAAAGAGGATAATGTTAGTGGAAATGGATACTTGCACTTCTTTTTCTTTTTTTTTTTTTTTTTGCCCTGTTCAGACAAGATGCATTGACACAAAAGTGATAAATCTGAATGTGCTGGAGTTGCTAATTTGAGAAAAGATTAAATATATAACTAAATTTTGGTGGTACTTTTGTGAAGCTTATCAGCATCTTGCTGCTAGAGCAGGAGCTGTGGATGAGCAGGAAGCAGCCTGGAAGCCTTAGGGGAAAAAACAAGCAAATGAGTAAAGAGGAAGTGTGTGATTAGAGCAAGCAGAGCCCTTTGTGCTGGGCTGTTGTAATTGCTGTCTCTAGTGTCAGTTGCCCAGCACCAGATGGGAGCTGGAGCTTTCAGAAGTGCCCAGGAGGTGCTGCCAGGAGGTTCCTGCTTGTCCTACAGACAGGGACACCCTGAGAGCAGAGGTGTGGGAGCTCTCAGTGGGATGCTGAGGGACTGCTGGTAAGATGTGCTCTCTTGGCCTTCTGGAGCACCTGGGGTAGCTCTGGCTGAGCCCCAGGGCTGACCCAGGCTCTTGGGGCAAAGGTGGCACCTCACAGGAGCTGTTTCTGTGCCAGGTGTGAGTAGGGGTTTGTCTCAAAGAATTGGTGGGTGTCCATCCTCAGGGAGGTCTTGTGCAAGTTGTTACTGTGTTTTCTGGCTGCAGCTCCAACAGGGTTTCATTAACTGTAGCTGAGAAAGCGCCTGTGTGCAGTTTCAGGTGTGTAAAGAAGGCCGAGTGCCAACAGCAAACGCCAGGTTCTGGGCACAAATTCTCTGGGCACTGCTGCTGGTCCTGGAGAGGAGACTGGACAGACTGTGAGCTGCTGTGCCAGCACTTTTGTGATCCACTCCATGATTCCCAGTGCAAACTCAGGAGCACAGAGCATGATGTCATGTCTGTTGTAGGCTTAGGTGTGTGGACTAACCCCCAACTGGCAGCTCTCATATCCTAACAAAGGTGGGGGGCTCCTTTCTGCCCTGTTTTGGGGTGATTTGTGCTCCTCACCCCCACTTTGACTTGCCTGGGTGACTGGTTGGTTCCAGTCACGTTGGGCTGGATGTGTGTGGGAACAGCTCTCGGGCAGGAAGCGCTGTACGTGCAGTGAAACAAGAAGTGGAGTCACAGCAGGGCTGGGAGCAGGCTCTGAAAGGGGAACAGGGACTTTCCTGGCTGTGCAGGCTCCTGGCAGTGCCATGCAAACATCTGAGTAGTTACTGTGGCATCCTGAAAGGTACACAACTCATTTGTGCTCTCAGGTCAGGGACTTGGCAGATGTTCTTCAGCTGCACAAGGTACCAAAGGAAAGCAGTTGTGGTTAAAGGTTGACCTGAGGCTGCATTTGGCTCCTGAGGGCTCAGCTGTGCCACCACTCAAGTAATCCTCTCATCACAGGAGTTTTTTTCCCCAATGCTCAAGTCCAGAGCTGTGCTTGGCACAGCAGACACAGGCAGCCCCCCATGAGCTGAATTCCAGACTGTGCCATCCTCCTTGGATACAGCAGCAGCCAGTGAGGAAAAAAGCAAAGATGGTTTGTTAATTTTCTTTTTACTACATAATCTATAAATGAACAGTGCTGTGCACCTGAGATTGCATTTGTTCCAAAGGCAGCCAAAATGTGACACCTTTTATGCTGTGGGTAAGAAAACTCCTGGTCAGGCACAACTCAATTTAGTAACACCACCCTTGACACAAGATACATCAGATGCTAATCTGTGGTGAAAAACCTTTGATTAATGTGTGTTTTCTTACACAATCTGGCAGATGTGGATCCAGTCATCAGTGATAAAGTTCAAGTGGATGCTGTTCTACAAAGCAAATTTCACACCAGCTGTCAAGTTAGGAAATGAACAGAGTGCAAGACACCTGTGGTTGAATCCTGCAGTGAAACATTAAGTTTGCAAAAGAAATAACTAAGAATATTTCCTGAAACTTGCACTGGAAAGCATTCAAATATGTAAAACTCTTTTGCTCAGTGCTTTGTAGAACAGTACACAGCAGTTGCCAAAACAGTTTTGTGTTTAACTATAATATATTGAAAATCAAACCTCCCCCAGAGGTGACTCTGGGTGAAATAAGTTGCTGTGCTGAAAAAAACTGCACCAAGAGCCTGGGTGACTCCATGGAAGTTCTCAGCTCCAGAGCAAATATTTCCTCTGACTGCAGCTCAGTGTAATTTGGTGCAGCTGCCAACTCAGAGGTTGAAAACTTTTAAATTCAAATAGAAAGCAGGGACTTTTCTCTTCCCCAAATGGACACACCCACAAGAAGCTGCTTTTGCACAGTTTAATAAAGCATCTCATCACAGACATAATTTACCTCACAGGTTAAAAAAAAGGATTTTTAAATACACTTCTCTGGCTTATCCCTATTGAGCTCCCACAAACAGGCCAAGGGAGCAGCAGGACCCTCCAAGCAGAGACACAATTACCACCAGGCCGTCCCTGATAACAGTCTTCACATTTGCATAGATAAACATTTAAATAACTGAATCCAAAAGTATTACAAACAAGGTAAGTTACAAACAAATCTGAGGCCTTCCAAATACTTGATTTGTAAAGCAATCCTTTTTTTGGGGAAAAAAATGGAATCACAGGCTTATTTCAGCAGTTTTACACTGTCCCACACTTCAGAGCTTGGGACTGTTCCATTTGTGATTGACCCTGAGAGTTCAGTTCTGTTCAGTCCTCCCGAAGGTAAGGGTCATCATCTGCATTTCCTAAAACACCCTGTGGCAATGAGGAATCCTCTCCTCTGGCTTTTATGAGCTCGTCTGTCTGAACTTCAGCTAATTTGGTCTCTGCTTTCTGGGACAGCAGCCGCACCTCTTGCACCTGGGACTTCACCACCTGGATGTGGCTGCGGGCTGTCACCGAGGCCTGGTCTGCACCTGGAGGGGAGGATCAACACTCTGGGTTACAGGAGCACTGGGCAACCCTTCAGCTAAGGAAATGGATGGGATTATCATCTGTTTAGCTGTGTTGTGATGGCTCTTGGGCTGTATGAATGCATTTACTGTTCATTTACCTCAAGCCTTTTGTCTGCTTTGAGATGCCACTGCTGCCTTGAATTCTCCCATCCCAGTGGGATACAGCTGGAGTTGGACAGGAGTGATCAGCTTGTGCCAGTGGGTTTGAGAGCTAAGCCCAGCCCAGTCCTTGTGTGCCAGAACCTTTCAGTCCTCGTCCTATCCTGCCACCTACAGCAGTGGGAATACCTGTGGCACTGCTGAATTCCCACCATTCTCTGCCCATGCTCCCACAGATTTCTGGCTCTTCTCCAGGCACTTACAGAATTAGGGTGTCTCTGTATATTCACTGCTTTCCCTCCCTTCTCCACTCCAGTAACTTTGCCCATTTACTACAAACCAGTCCATAACTCAGAGCTCTCAAATCTCTCCAGGGAGAAAAAACCCAAAATTAGTATATTTTCCCTTTTTAATATAACTCCATAAATCCATGTGAAAAGTCCTCTTGGATTCATAGGCAGCCTTGATTCTGTGGCTCCCAGGACCATGTTTGAGCCTTGCATTTAAAAATAACTGAACTCTTCCCTGAGACATTTTTGCCCACGGTTAGTCTTGACCTAAACCACATGTGAAGTTTCCAGGCCTAGTTCTCAGAACACACCTACAGACAGACTCACAGCCAAAAGCAGAATGTATGTGCTCAGCACCTGTAAAAAGCAGGCACCAGCTGTCAGTTGTTGTGTTAACTGAATGCAGATTGTGTGTGTGAGCTGAGGGAGAAGGGGCAGAGGCTCGGTGCTGCTGCTGCTCACCCGACTGATACGCAGCCTCTGCTGCCATCTCCGACAGCCGCAGCGCCGTCATCCAGCTGGATTCCAGCCTGAGGTACTCCTGCTGCTTGCTGGTCATCTAGGAGCAGGAGACAGAACCAACAAGGTGTAACACACCCCAGAGCTCTCCTGAGCTGTGAGAGCAGGGCTGGAGAGGCAGATGGTGAGGGAAGTTTGTTTGCTTACATCCACTCTGGCTCCTATGACCACCTGCCAGACTGCATCCACCTCTTCCGAGTTCATCTTCCCAAGGAGATTTGAGTATTGCTTGTAGAGAGACACTAGGGTATAAACTGCCTGTGAAGGAATCATTTTGCACAGTTACCACCACAGCCTACACAGCTCTGGTGTTGTCTCAGGGTTACCTGGTGTTAATTTGCAAAATTACTCTTCATACATTTGATGTACTGACAAGGATGCAAACTGGAATGCAAGTACTTTACTCAAATTGGCACTTTATTTGCAAAATTAAAACTGTGTCTTCTTGTTTCAGACTTAAGTATGGCTCATGCCATTCTTCTGATGGAACTCAGTTCATGGCATTAGAGAGACTGAGAAGGGCAATAAAATGCCCAAGAACAGAGAGCTCAGTACACAGGTAATATAAATAATTGTTATGGGTTTCTTCAGCCCTAGTTCTGAGTTCCAGGGTCATTTTGCCTAAGTAAAAAAAGGGACTTCTTACAAGGGCATGGGATGACAGGACAAGGGGAATGGATTCACACTGACAGAGGGCAGGGCAGGGAAAAATTCTTGGCTGTGAGGGTGGTGAGGCCCTGGCACAGGCTGCTCAGAGAACCTGTGGCTGCCCCATCCCTGGAAGTGTCCAAGGCCAGCCTGGACACTGGGGATTGGAGCAGCCTGGGATAGCGAAAGGTGCCCCTGCTCATGGGACTGGATGAGCTTTAAGGTCTTTCCAACCCCAAACCATTCTGGGGTTGTCTAATTTTAACCCTAAAGCAACAATTTAACAAAGCGAAAAGTAACTTCCATGTTTGGTGTAGAATATGGCTCCCGAGGGACCTGACATCTTCAACCCCCCTCACCTCCTGGGTTAAATTAATTTTGCAAAAGCCCCTTTTGAGCATGGTTTAAGAGGTGTAGCTAGTGGCAGAGCAGCAGTGGCTGGTGCCAGGCGTGAGGCCCCTGGGCTCACCTTGGTGTACTCGGTGAGCGCCTCGATCAGCGCGTAGGTGGTCTGGGAGAGCAGCGTGGCCGTGCTGTCTGTCACCAGGGACACGGCTCTTCTGATCAGGGCGTCGTTGCTGAGGGACCCCGAGCTCTGCTGCTGCAACACAAGACACCCCTGTGACCTCGTGTGACCTCGTGTGACCTCGTGTGACCTCGCCACTGCCTTCCCCACGGACGCCACTCAAACACAGAGGTGAGGAAAAGCTGCGAGGCTGCACTGCCAAGCTCTCCCGGGGGAGAACCAGGACAAGCAGGGGGTTTGGATGACAAACTGGTGCAAGGAGGGGTGCTGGGGGTACCTCCACGACGGGGACAGCGCACAGGGCCACCCCCAGCCCCACGGCCTGGTGCCACTGCCCGCTCCTGCCCGCGAGGCCTCGCTGCCGGATGCCGGCCAGCACCGGGAAGCTGCGTCTGGAAAAGCAAGAGGCAAAGTTTAGCAGCAGAAACAATCCAGTGTGGGGTGGGAAACGGGTCATGGAGGAGAACAACACCCAGAAGCTGTTTTGTCTGTGCCAGGCTTCTGTGATGCAGCTGCCTGATGGCGGATGAGTAAGTTTGTTTCAAAGTTTGTATTACTGTTTAATTGTAAGTGCAAAAAAAGGCAAGCACAGTAACTAGTGCAATTTTAGTACTTCCATAGAGAAAATATATATTAGCTGGTATGGGCACACTGCTGATAATCAATAATACTGGAAAATAGGTTCAAAAACATGCTTAAAAGTGGCGTGTGGTACATGCAGGTGAGAAATGTGACAGGTTTGTTACAACCCAACAACACTTGAGCCTCTGTGGCCACTTTTATTTACAACCCAAGCTGTGCAAACGCCCTGGGGTCAGGGTCTATCACGGAAATACCGAGGACAGAGCAATGAGACTTTTTGTTGTCGCTGTTGCTCTACAGCAATTTAATGAAAACAACCGGTGGATTTTCCTTCTTTTACGCCGTGCACTCTTTAACCTACAGCCTGCGGCTGGGGAGCGTCCCCCTCAGCCTCTCCTCCCGGCCCGCCGCGGTACCTGAGCACGGAGCAGCAGCTCCGCAGCCACCGCCCGCCCGCCGCCATCTTGGCCCGCCCGGCGCGCGGGAAGTGACGTCACGCGGGGCGCGCGGCTGAGTGGGCGGGGCCTGGCTCGGCGCGTGCGCAGAGCGCGGGCGGGGCGCGCGCCGCGCCGTGAGGGCAGCGGCGGGAACGTGAGGGGGACGGAGCGAGAGACGTGACAGGGATGTCCCCAAGGATGTCCCCAAGGATGTCCCCAGCGATATCACAGGGGTGTCCCCAAAGATGTCACAGGGATGTCCCCAGCGATGTCCCCGCGGCCCCTTCGCCGTCCCGGCCCTGCGGTGCACCCCCGACACCTCCTCTGTGTTCCGCCAGGATGTCCAACATCGCACGGGTCAGAAATAGGCAACAATTCGCCCAGCTGCTGGGAATGAGGTTATGAAACAGAGTCTTGCCTAATTGTTACAAAATGTGGAATGTAGCAGTTCTAAAAATTCTCTAAGAATGGGCTGTTCTTTGGTGTTTGGTTTTGTAGCTTTCAAGTCTGATAAACAATATTTAATCCGTGAAACGGAGTAGCCAACAAGCTTTGAGTGATGTCCAGGTGTTAGAAAACAAAATTACTTGGGGGTGGAATTGCCTTGAAAAGGGCTTGATGTGTTTTAGTGGCATTAGATCTGGGAAAGGTGAACAAAGCTTGGGAAGAAGGATTTGGACAAAAGGAATGGGAACTTATGGGTCATGAGGATATTGGGCAGAACCCCCAAGATAAGGAAGAAACTGAAAAACCAAACTTCCATTGGGTAAAAGGGAATTCCAGCAGGGACATATCGTGACCACCAACTCAGAGACACCAGTGATTGTCACGGCCATGGTTTAATTAATCTTTATTGTTCTAAAGTACACAATGCTACTTTGATTTTGGGTAGTTCCATACTAGTGATAATCTCCACCTTCTCCACCAAAGGTTTCCTGTGCAATTCCACACAAAATGGCCTTGATCAATTAAATCTATTCTTTCTAGTGATAGCAGGAATTCCTGTTCTCACTCCTGTTTTCAGAGACTCAGTCAGCACAGGTTACTTTACTGAGGCTGTGCTGAATCACACATTCTCCATCTAATTCCATGCTTTAAACATTTGTTCCAGAGCTTGGCACACCTGAGAGCACCAGGTAACAACTCTGTGCCTCATAAAACTGTAGGGAGAGGGGAACCTTGTGCTGATCTGAAATGTCTTTTCCCAGGACTTCTAAAGCAAATTACAAGTAATTTCTGTGTGTCTGCCTTCACACCCTTAATGAGGCAGAGCAGGACAAGGCAGGACTTGTTTGCTGAGATGTTGGAGCGGTGCTGCATCCCTGCCATCCCCTGTGCTGCACTCGGCAGAGTGGGAATCTCAGGAGAAAACTGCTGGGAGGCTTTTAAATAGTTCAGAGAACAGAAACAAACGTCCAGGAGACAAAGAACTGCGAGAGCCAGAAGGATCTGTAAAGTGCATGCATGGGGATACCTTTTCTCTTTTAACCTTTATTGTTTTTACATAGGAAAATAAGACTGCGGCGTGGCAGCAAGAGCACAGAACTCTTGCAGGTTTGGCGCAGGGGAAGGAGCCTCCATCCCGTGTGTGGAGCTGTGCCATGGAGCTGGGTGCCTCTGGAAAGGCCGCGGGAGCAGGAGCAGGGGCAGAGCCCTCATTTGAGCACCAGGAAGTAGGTGGTCCAGCCGGCCAGCAGCAGCGCCCCGAGCAGCACCGTGTAGCTGAACAGCACAAAGGCCAGCAGCTCCCGCAGCACCTTGAGGAAGTGGATGGCGAAGGAGTCCGGCATGGCTCTCCCGGCTCCCTGGGGCTGGCTGCTCCCTGCTCCTCCCTGGCCTGGAAGCAGAGGAACAAGGTGAGTCTTCACAGCAGGGACACCACCCTGCCATGGGGAGGAATCCTGTGGTCAGCAGGGTTGATGACCACCTGGAAGGTTGTTAGTGACTGGTGTGGGCCTGTTCAGAGCCCTGCCGAGGTGCTGAAAGAGTGTTTGGGATCCGATCAAAGTCTCCAGATCAGGACTGGTAGGGAAGCAGGTGGAAATACAGACACAGGCAGTGGGCACCCTCCCAGAGGGTGAGGCTGGGGGCTGTTACAGAGTCCAGCTGGCTCCTGGAATCTTTCCCCTGGGGCTGTGGCTGTGTGTCCAGGAAGCGCCAGGATCAGAGCGGCCGCTGATGGTGCATTACCAACAGCGTGTTCTGATCAAAGTGGTCAATTCCTCCAAGGAAGCCACCATTAATATTTAATTCTGTAATTGCATCTAATGGAGGTACTGGCACAAACTGAGCCTTTTGTTTAAGAATGATGAAAACTGAGGCTTAAATACAAGTTTGCACAGGCAAATATTTATATCTTGCGTTAAAAATAACCATTAAATGGGAGACATAGGATAAGATACCTTAGAATTCATCTTCTAGCAATATTGTATAGTCATAGGTACGCACTGCTCTGGAAGTGATTGCTCATTTGTTAGTTTAAATTAAATCTGAACTTTTCCCCTAAAGTCACTGGCTTCTTAGATTTAAGCTGTGAAAACCCACCTAAAAAATTCTATTATCTCTTCAATTTACGTGTTCTTTTAAATTTTGATCATAACTGTGCCTGATCAACAATATTGACGCTCTTAGTCAAGCACGAAAGGGAGTTTAAAATCAGACTTAGGATAAAAACTAACCCAGAAGGATTGTTTCTCTTCTGAACAGCCTAAAGCCAGCTAAACTGAACTCAATTCCTGTCCTGTTGATAAGAATGTTTTTTAAAGAGCTCTTATTATAAGGAAGTCACTTTTTGGTGCTGTTGAACGAGTTCAGCCACTCCATTCCAAGCTCAGGCACATTTATACAGTACAGGAGTTAGAGCATTTTTAAACCAGCTGTGGCTTCTCCGTTGTTCAGAGCATTACAGATTTCTGTCTATAGGCTGTGCGAGATTTCTGGTTATCTAGAAAGATGCTGATAAAGAAATAAACTGCTTACCCAGGCAGACGAGGGGCTCTGCTTCGGCAAGTTCGTGTTTCTCCCTAGTTTTGTTGTGCAGGGGTTTGTGCCGGTGCTGATCCCGCCGTGGTCTGGGAGCAGGAGCAGAGTGTGTGAGTGTGTGCAGCCCACACGAGGACTGAGCTCTAGGTGTGGTCAGCACCGGTTATGATCCGACAGCGCCGTGGTGCTCGTGGTGCTCGGAGCAGCCAAACGCTCCCCCTCCCCTGGGGCTTTTGGTAACAGCATTTCCAGAGTTCCAGTGCCAGGGCTTGGAGTCACCAGATCAAAACCTGCATTTGTTGAGATGGGGGGGTTTGCCTCTAACAAAACCTTGTGTCATCCTACACGTTTTATTCTGTTATCTCGAAGGCTGCAGTGCCTCTTGCTCTGTTCCCTGAGCACCCTGTGCTCTGTGAGCCACTCGGGGAGGAGGATGTTCACACACAGCTGGGGCTCATCCCCAGGGTGGGACTGTGCAGGCTGAGCCAGGATCTTTTATCAAAAGTCAGTGAGGGCTGAAGGCAGCCTAATCACTGCTGTAGTGTCACCCTTAGCCTCCTATCCAAGGAGTCATCCCGACCTTTCAGAGCTCAAATGATGCAGCTCCTTTGCAGTGAGGGGAGGAGAGAGACAGGCTCTATATTTATTCTTAGCAAAATTGCTTCTGATCATGTATGAAAAGTGAAAGCCTTTTGGGGTAGAGGTTGGGTAATATTTTTTTTTTTTTGTAGTAATGTAGACAGCAGAGAAGGAAGATTATGTACTGCAAATCAAATCTCTTACCCACAAAGATATTATGATGTAGAAAATGGTCCCTTAATTTAATTAGGTTCTCTTGTTATCAAATTATTACCCGCATGGTCAGCAGGGCCTTGGACAGAAGCAGAACATCATCAGCTGCTCAGGAAGCCTGTTAAATAGTAATTGCTCCTCCAGGGAATTGATCAGCGTCAGGATGGTTTTTATTTTGTTGTTGAATAGTTCCAGGAAGAGGCTTTGTCTAGGTGCAGTGGTTATATGGTTCTCGTGCAGGCTGCAAAAAAAATAAGCTGCAATGTTGGTGATGAATTCAGAGTTTACCAAGTGTCTGGTGTAAACTCTTAACCAAAAAAAGTTTTGGCTGTAGTGCTACTGATTGCTGGCCACTTTGTGTTTTCCTTTTTCACCTGTGGTGTAGCTCAGAAACCAGCCTGGTCAGTATTTCCTTGGGGTTAGTTCAACTGTTAAGTTTTAATTAAAAAAATAAATCTGGAAATTGTGATACTACAGAGACTCTTCAAGGCCAACCCAAGGAGACACCATTGCTCTGAGTCAATTTGTTGTTTTTCTCTGCACAGTAACATCTAATTTTTGATCCTGACCTAATTCAGTTTTCCTCTTAAATACTCTGAAATTAGCTACTTTAAATGGAACTTGCAAACAATCCATGTTTGCTCTTCTTGCATCACTGAAGTTGCAGCATGGTTTTTGTTAAGTCTGTCTACAGGTTGCCTTCCCACCTGAAATAGAAAGTCTCCACTGACTGAAATTTTATTTTTCTTCAAAAGTTCATAAATTCTACTTCTAATGTAGTATTACAGGTGGCAGAACAGAATGAAATTTTGCATGAGCCTTAATTAAAAAACACCTAGGTGTTAGAAAAATAGTTTCAACTTAAGTTACTCAGTTATTCAGTTATCCCGGGACAGGGAGACAAAGATACAATTATCACAGTGCAGGGCTTTATTTTATTTTTGTATTCTAAAGAAAAGAGAGAGCGCAAACACTTCCAAAAAAAGATTAAATACATATTTATTTTATTTTATTCTAATAAGTCAGCTGGAGTTAAACAGAGGGGCTCCATGCAGGGTCTGACTTGGCAGACCACAGTCTTAAAAAATAAAACAGACCAAAACCCGCAGTCACAACTGTGACAACTTGGAAAAACGGAGGGATTTACTGGGACATACTATACATGATAACTAAGGCAGAACTGTTTGCTAAGAGGGTGATTTAAGGTGAGGAGTGGGCTTTTTTAAGAGTGAACTGCAGTGTGGAAGAGTCCCCAGTGGCTGTGAGGACACCAACAGTGCCCAGCCCAGCACAGGCACCAGCAAGGACCCTGCTCTGCCTTCCCCTCTGCAGCCAGGAGCTGCCTCTTGCATGCCCCGGGCCCAGCCACAAAGCCCATGGAAAATTCCATTTTACAAGTTTGAGCTCTACAACAGCTTGTGACAGCAACTCCCACAGTTTATAACTGAACAGGGGGTGAAAAAAGTGTCTGTTTTAAACCCACTGTTTACTGGGTCCCTGCTCTTGCTATTTTTGGCCCCCACACAGGGAGTGTTTGTGTGTCTTCAACCATAAACTCAGGACACACTGATGTCATTCATACTCTGGAGGAGCTTTCCAGAGTCAGGTGGGTGTACCTAGGACAAAGAAGTCACCTCACAGCGATCCCTTCAGGGGACAAGTGAAGTAAAAGGCTCAAGGATCACAGGTATAGCTGCGTACAGATCTCTGACTGACACATCCAATGCATCCATGGAATGTATCAGGCACCACAGAGAGACAAACAGTCTGGGAATAGTGGTATGAAGTCAGGAATAGAGAACATCCTGTCTCACACCTTAGGGGGGTAAAAAGTAGAAATCACATCTCCCACCAAAGCTAAACTGAAAGAAAAAAAGAAGCAATTCATCAAAGACAAGGACCAGGGCCCATTCCTGCTGCCCCAGCCCTTGGCTGCCAGGTCAGACCATGGGCAGGGATCTCTCTCTTTCCCACTGTTTATCATTAGTGCCTTCCAACCCTGCTTGTCTGCTGGGATGTTCCACAGACACTTGGAACACAAGTGCAGAAGGGATGAGGGTAACTGCTCACGAGCTGGTCCCAGGAGAGCTTCCTTCACTGCTGTGTTTCTCCAACAGAGCAGCTGTCCCAGCTGACGTGCCTGTGTTACACAGGCCCTCTCACACTCCCTAGAAAGGGGCAGGCTCCAGTTTCTCCATCAAGGATTTGATCCAGGTTGTCCCGTTGATCAGTTTTGTAGTGGCAATGATGTACTCTGTGCCTCCATCCTCCATCTGGGACAGGAATCTCAGCGCGGCGATTTCTGCGTACGTGACCCCGCCCAGGAAGAACACCAGGGTCACTCTGTTCTCACCGTGCTGACCTGTGGGTTCAAAAAAAGGTCCAGGTTGGCTTGGTTTGATTTTTACAGCTCCCCTGCATCACAACTGTCAGTCAAACTCAAATGATCTGAATTAGAGATTTGGACACAGAAATCCACAGCCTGCTCCCAGCTCTGGGGTTGCTACAGGATGTATTTCTGTTTGAGAGTGATGCTGACCCTCTTCTTACTTATTAAAATCACAGTGTAAGTTTAGGGTTTATTTTAGTACTCTGATGAGAATTAAACCTTTTGTCAAAGGAGGATTAGGTCAATCTAACACTGCTGTGGGACAGGGGATGACACAGAGACCTGGACTCTGCCTGCCCTGATTTCAGTTTGCCTCACTCCCTGCTCACAGATGTATTTTCCTGTAAACCACGGGAAAACAAACCCAAACTTACGCTTTTTCTGCAGGCCAGTAGGGAGCTGCTGCCTCTCCTCGAAATGGGGCCCTGGCAGCATCTTCAAAACCTCCTCGATGCTGCGCCAGCCCGGCCGGGCCAGCAGCTGGGCCAGGCGCACGCTCAGCGGGGCGTAGCCGCTGTACACGTACGAGATGTCATTGGGGTTCTGGGGGACACAGAGACACGGAGGGGACAGCAGGTCAGTGCCACCTCCTGCTGCAAAACAGCCTCAAAGAAATCACTAACACTGAATAAAAAAGGAGGTTTTCCTGCATGTAATTCTGTAGTAAGAGGTAATGTGTGCTGCTGAGGTGCCACTTTACCTGCTCATTAACATCATCCATCCACAGGCGCAGCGTTTTCCTGATTGTTGGGTAGTTATTCCTGCCACCTGTCTGGGGTTTCAGGAGCCCAGCCTTTTCCAAGTTGTTTAAGGTCAATAGATGTTCATAGCCATAAGTCTGTAATATGAAGAAGTCACCTTTAATTACCATGGCAATAACCCATGACCAGTCTTTAAAACAGAAAAAAAAAAAAAAAAAAAAGGCAAAGATGTTTGTTTAAAAAATATGTTTGTTTAAAAAAAGCTTTTTGGTTAAGATCTCTTTAGAGCATATCCAATTTAGAGTGTTTAAATAATATTAGTAAAAAGCGATATAAACCTCTGTATACATGTTGTAACACACAAAAGCACCTCCCAAGGATCTGCCCAAACAGAAACCTACTGCTCTCTCTGTGCACATTATTTGGTTGTAAGATGTGTCTGTCTAGAATTGAAGTGTACAGCCGAAGATTTGATGTGGATTTTCTCAGGAATTTATTCCTCCAAATGTTAGAGCCTAACCTGGAGAATCTCTCTTTTGTAATGGTCCAGAACCTTCTGCTTCAGCCCACTATTGCACACGGATTGCAAACAAACGAGACGCAAGATCTTGATTAATGGATGTTTCTGAGCAATGCAGTCTTCAATATAATTGTTAACCTATTAAATAAAATACATAAGAAATTATTTAAGGAATTGTTAAGTGTCCATCAGACCTGGAAAGAAAGATCTGGTTTGCCTGGTTCTCCAAAAGAGCAAGAAAGAGGAGCAGCTGCTCTGCAGGCAGCTCAGGACCATCTGTAAACAGTGACTCAGCACTGGCTCCACCTGGGCTCTCCTAGAGCAGTCCCTCACTCAGTAGCCAGACTTTGCACTGAAAAATTCTTATTAACCATCTTCTGTGTTCCACTGATATCTCAGAGCATGGGGTGCCCCTGAACAGGCCAAGCACCCCAGCTGTGCACAGCAGTGATAGGTAACTCAGAGATCCATTTCACTGGACATCATCTGGATCAGATGTTTCCTCTCTCAAAAAAAAAAAAATCAAAACTAAAAACCTAAATAAATTTAAAAAAATGTTTTTTGAAGATGTAAGAGAGGCTAATTGCCATTATCTACTTACCTTGTCTGTGTCTATTCCAGACATGAACTCTTGTTCCACTGTTAAATTATCAAAGAAATCTTCAGATGCTTTGGAGAAAGAATGAAAATCAATACAAGAGCAACTGACAGCTTATGTTTTACATTTAACATTTCAGCAGAGATGCACTGGATGGAGCAAAGCCAGTTTTTGCCAGGCTGAGTGATATCCATCAAGTTTCCAGGCATCCTGCTGGATTTAAATGATTCCTACTCACTGGTGATGTCTTTGATGAGCTCTGCGATGGAGGTGTGGTTTGCCAGTGAGCTCCTCGCCGCCTGCATGTGAGGCAGCTGGGACACAAACTGCTTGATCTCTCCAACAGTCTTGGCGTGGTGCCTTTCCTGAAAAAATGCATCACTTGGCTTAGGCCTTGTTCATGTTAGTAACACCAAACAGATCATTTTATGATTAAGAAGTTTTACTGCACTCCCTGGAGGGAGTTAGAGTTAGATGCTTACACTGAAGTCACAGCATTACCTGAAACAGCACTTGGATCGTGGAGAGAGGCAGCAAGTAATAGAGCAACATCATTAGACTGTTATTGTCCATTATCCCAGTGTCGTAAATAATTTTATCCACATTTGTCTGACTCCAGCCATCACTAGCTGCTCCTCAATTTCCCTACCAGGGAAGACTCCCTTTTTCACACAAAGAGGAATTACTTTGCTGGCTGACAGGGAGCTCTAGGCCAATGCTGTCAGAGCTGGGGAGGGAGACCCTTGGAGCAGAAGTGAAAAGTGCTGAGGAACTGGGCTGGCAGGGTCTGCCATTCACTCTGCTTGGTGGCAACAACATGCCAGGTTTTGAGGCAGGATGTGCTGAAGCACCATGCAGTGTTCAGCTCCAGAGGTCTGCACTGCATTTGGGCTACTTGCCTCTTGCTGCAACTTGGAATAAAAATAGTAATAATTTGACTCATTTGTGAAGGATTTAAATGGGCAAGTGCAGGCAGGAGAGTCATGATGGAGCCTGTGATTGAAGAAACCCTATGCTGCCAATACACTGCTGTTTCATTATCACCTATTACTGCCGACAATTTCTTAGAATTCTCTTTTTTTAACAAGCACTATGAACAATCCATCTTTAGCACCTCCAGCACTAATAGTGCAGAAGCAGAGCTGCACTGGGGAATGAGGCTGAGCACTCAATGTTTCAGTTAAGGCACCACCACCTTGTCTCAGATGTGGCAGAGGTTAAGAGGCTAAAAAAGCCCCACCAAGGAAATACAAAGAGTGAAACAAGTTCTCTTTAGAGTCCCCATGAGGTCAGAAAAATAAGATATGGGATCTCAGTTTATGAATCATCAACAGGATGTTTTCAACAAAACCACAAATGTGCCCCACACAGCTCTCCAGATTTGTCTGAGATGACATACGAGCATGTATTTACAGTTCAAACCTCCTGCATGACAACTGTCTTTTGCACATTTCTGTTGTTTTTAATGCCAGCCATAATACTCTGTGAAAGAACATTCTGGTGTTTTATTGCTTAAAGCTTTGTCTTTCTCCTTCTCCTGAAGGCAAAAGGACCTTTCAATGAACAGGTAACAAAGAGCAGCCAAGTGGAATTGATCAGCATACTAAAAATCACCTTTGGCTTCTTGCAGAGGGAAGCAGCACCCGACTCTTGCAGACTGAGGAGAGCAATTCCTGTTATGGAATCTATGGGCTCACACAGCACAAGCCTGGATTAGGCAAGCTCTGAGCAAAAGGAAAGCCCCAGAAAAGAGGTGTGGGCAGAAATGAGGATCTACATTACTGCAGGCATCTTAAAAGGTGATTTGACCAACACCTACTCAGAACAGTCCAAGTGGAGCTGACCTCATCCCAGAGCAGGTGAACAGAATGGAACAGCTTCCTGGTTTTTCTCTGGATGGGGGATTACTGTGTGGGAGCAGCCTGAGCTGCCAGTCCCAGCCCTGCTGAACACCGACGGTGAATTATCTGATGCACTGTTGGACACAGGCCTCACCTCAAAGGCTGCTGAGATGATCTTGGCTTTCTTGCTCAGCACTGACCCCACAGCATTGAAGTTCTTGTCTCGGATTTCGGCATAAAGCTCTTCTGCAGAGTTCAGCTGGAGCTTCTTGGGTTCTGTGGGGAGATCTTTCCCACCCTCCCCCTGCTTCTTCGGGGCAAACTTCTCAGGAGGGAGTTTCACATAAGCTACCAAATGAAGAGAAATAACCCTTGTAAGGACTGGAACTTCATCAGCAGAAGTTACGATCAGCAGGCTGTGGAAATGTGTCCGGGAAATGTGAGCTGGAAACAGCTCTGAGTAGCAAAGCAATATTAACACTCAAACCACTCAGTGCCTGTGTGTTAATGAAGGAGGTCACTGCACTCAGCCAGGGACCTACACAAACATCAGAACCCAAGTGCCAGCTGCCCTGCTTTCAGAGAGGCTTGGAGGCAGCCCAGCAGCCAGTCCAGCCTAGCAGGAGGGATTACAGCCTATAAATGCCTCTCTGGATTCCTCTTACCCCCTGAAGAACAGGACAGCATTCTGAAAATGGCACTTCACAAACTGTCCCTGTCCCCTCAGTGTGGCACGTGATCCAGGCAGGATGGACACTGAAGGCACACACTAACATTCCCACTCACACACTCCCTGTTGTGTCACTGTGCCTGCACCCAAAAGATGCCCTTCAGTAACCACAGACTGTACTTGGCTCCCCTTCCCAGGCAAAAAGAGGCAGAGTGGATCTCGATGGGCTCCAGCTCGGGACTGACCAAACCCCACATTGATCTCAGCTGAGCTGCTCCCACATCACATTTAGTGAAGCACAAACCCACCCAACACACTGCAACCGCCCCAGGACACGGGAAACCCATCCCTTCCCCACAGGACTCACTGTTCTGGATGCCATAGATCTCATCAATCAGCCCCTCGTACGTCAGCTGCGTGGCCAGCGGGGTCAGCAGGTCCACGTTGCGGTCCAGCAGCAGGAGGGTATCAAAGACAGGAAATATGGAATTCTGGCTCCCAGGGAACTCACGCTTCATCCTGATCATCATGTTGGCCACGTGCTGCAAGGAAATCGCATCGCTCTGGTCAGGGTGCAGGCCACAGCAGGTCGATGCTGGGAAAGGAAGGGGATGGCAGGAGGTACAGACTGGCTGATGGATGGGGCAGGACAAGACTGAAAAAACAAAAGTCCTTCTCTGCTGCTCTCTGCAGTTCAGCAAGACAGTGATGTCCAAAACACTGCATTCATCTCAAGCTGCTCCCTCACCACAAAAAATACCAATTAAACCACAGGTTGACCAGAGAGAAGCAAAAAGGATGTGCATGTGTCATGGCTGGATTAATAAAACCTAGAGGTGCATTTAACCAAACACTCCTTAAGGCAGTTCCAAAGAACAACATACATTTGTTCAGCCTCACCCGAGCACAGTCGCCCTTCCCAAAAATCTGTGGGATGGTTCCGTAGAGAGCCTGCAGTGTCATCAGCCCCTTTGCTGCATGGTACAGACTGGTCTGGTCACTCTCCAGGTAACATTCCTAAAGAACAAGAGGGATTCTGATGGGGGGTGTCAATCCAATACAGATGCCTCCACAGCACAGCAGGGACTATGTGAACAGTTCAGAGGAGACACAGGCTGGGGACAAACTATGGCTGTTGGCATATATGGACCTTATTACCTGTGCTGTCACTACATCAAATAATTTTTTTGATGACTAGACTCTAGTATTTTTGAACTCTGGACACAAATCCAGTTTGATGGAGTAAAAGAAAGTGACTGGAAGGACTCTCTCCTGCTAATTAGACCAATGGGAGCACCCAACACCTCATTACAGCTACAAGCCCTGACTCATCCTCTGAGCTACACATAGGACAGAGAGGGCCAAGAAGCTCCCAAACTGTTGTGTCCTTGGATGCAGCACTCTGGGAGTGCAGGACATGCAGCTGGGATGTGACAGCTCTTACTGCTCAGTGCAGTGAGAACCATCACACACGGCTCCCTGGCTGTGCAGGAACACAAACCATGCTGGCTCCTTGTGACAAGTGAGTGCTTCAAGCCTCAGGAATGCTCCATTTGTGACAGTAACACCAGCAGCTGAAGCTGGAGGAACTGGGGTGCAGCTCGGTGTAGCGACTCTTCAGCATTTAGTATGAAAACACACAGGGAAGTTCAGGCTTCAGGATCAAGCCAGGTTTGCTCTGCAAGGCTTTTCCTTGTGCAGGTCACTCACAGACCCTCTGAGAGCTGCTGCACCAGCACCAACATCCAGCACAAAAACACTTTCTGCTTTTCCTCGAGGACGAGGCGCGTGCGCACCTTGAAGGCGCTCTCGGACTCCATGGAGAGCAGGTCTCCGTCAAAGGGGATCAGGTCCAGGCTGTACTGCTCGCGGTGGATGAAGGAGCCCAGCACGCCCTGCTCCTTCAGCCACTGCTCGCAGAGGAGGCTGCGGCGCGGCACGAACAGGATGTGGAAATCCCTCTGCGGAGAGCGGCCTCTGTCTTCCCTGCAAAAGTCACGGCAGGAGCAGAGCACTCGGTCACTCACTGCACACAGAGCAGCACAGACCACGGGCAGGGGGCACTGGATTCACACAACAGGAACGCTGCACTGGGTTACTGCTGACTCCCGGATTTTGAGTGTCGGTGTTCAGCCTTGTGCAGCCACAGCCCAGCCACCAGGGCAGGGACATGGCTGCCACCAGGGCAGGGGGACGTGGCTGCTCTGCAGCTCCCAAAAAGCGCAGCAATCCAAGCATGACTCATTCCAGCTAATTAGAAGGAGTGTTAAGTCCTCGCAGGGAGGAACGCACCCTCTGCATCCCAGCCAAGGTGAAACCCCCCTGCCCAAGGTGTGGGCCACAGAGTGGCTGTGCTGCAGTTCCCTGCACAGGTGTAACAAACCACACGGTGATTCGGGCCACACCTGTCCCCTCCTGACAGCGGCCTCTGCCCGCGGTACCTGAGCACGTTGTCCGTGATGATGTCCATCAGCTCCAGCTTGGGCCTGACGAAGAAGATGATGTTCTTGACGTCAGCCGGGGGCAGCCGGCCCGGCTTGAGCGTGAACATCTTCTCCACCTCATGCTCCTGCGCGGAGGCACGGCCGTCAGCAGAGCGCGGCAGCGCGGGGCCCGGCCGCCCGCCCCCCGGCGCTTACCTTGAGCAGCGAGTACTGCGCGATGAGCCCGAAGGGGCCGGTCAGGTACTCGTCCCACACGATGGCCTGCGGGAAGGGACGGCGGCATCAGAGCGGCCACAGCACCGCACGGGCGGGTCCCGCCCGGCCCGGCCCGGCCCGGCCCGGCCCGGCCGTGCCCACCTTGGAGCCCGCGCACTTGTCCAGGAACTCGCGCAGCTCGCGCCGCCCCGCCTCGCGCAGCGCCGTCAGGTTCACCCGGCCCGAGCTCAGGTGCGCCGCCATGGCCGCCCGGCCTGACCGCGGGGCGGGGCCGCGCAGCCGCACCGAGCGCGGGGCGGGCCGAGAGCGGGCTGGCGGGTGTCATGTGTGTGTCATGTGTGAGTCATGTGTGTGCCATGTGTGTCTGTGGTGCGCGGCCACTGCCACCGGGCTGCGCTGGGCACTGCTGAGGCCACACCGTGTCCAGCTCTGGGCCCTCCGTCCAGTGAGGGGCTGGAGCACCAGGAGGGGCTGAGGGAGCTGGGAAGGGGCTCAGCCTGGAGAAAAGGAGGCTCAGGGGTCGCTTTGGCTCTGCACAGCTCCTGACAGGAGGGGACAGCCCGGGGGGTCGGGCTGTGCTGCAGGGAAAGGGACAGGAAATGGCCTAAAGCTGCAGAAGGGGCTCAGGTTGGACATCAGGAGAATCTTCACCGAAAGCGTGATTAAAAACCAGTCACGGAGGCAGTGGAGTCACTGTCCCCGATTTAAGTAAGGACTGGACGTGGCACTCGGTAGTTCCCTGGGCAGTACTTGTCATGTTCACAAGGTGGTGCTCAGTCACAGACTTGGTGATCTCAGAGGTCTCTTCCCAGCTGATGGATTCTGTGATTTACGGTGCAGCCCCTGGCCATGGCTGTCCCCACACAGAACCCCTCACACACTGAACAGAAATGCAGAAGAGACAACACTTTTTTTTCCAAAATATAACTTTATTATATATATGCATATATACACACACACACCACACTCACTATATAGAAGCTCAAAGAATGCAAAACAGGGATGGCCCACAGACTGTTTCAGGTGTGCACAGGTGTGCACAGAATACAGGTTTCCAAAAACCCCCAGCAGCTCCTTACCTGCGTCATTTCCACATTTCACACCAAACCACAACCCAGAGCTCACGGCACCGAGCGACATCGCAATCAAAGGAGTAAATGAAAATAAAGATGAAATATTTCTCAACTCAGTCCAGTGTCAAAAAAAAGCTTAAAAATCTAAATGTACAAATTCAGCCTTAAAATGGTTTAGTGCAAATATGAAAATTAACAGCATATTTTTAAGGTATTTAAATAAGCTTTAATATAACTCTAGTGCTTCATTCCTATACATGTTTTCCCACCAATAGATCCAACAGCACAGGGGCATTTCCTGTTAAGGGCGGGACAAACCCAGAACCTGGGAAGAAACAGCATAAAGTCACTTGTTAAATCATTTATTTATCTTTCACTGAAGTTTGTTAAAAAGGGACGGGGGATATTTATTAGCGGAAGATCAAAATATTTATGCTTGTAGGGATTCCGGAGCGGGGAGCGAGGGCTCTCTGTCCCTTGTGCTGGCATTCAGCAGAGGCGCTGCTGGTGCTGCAGAGGTCCGGGCGGGGCTGTCCCGCCATCAGAAGGTCTCGTCGTCGTTGCAGTCGGCCGTCCAGTGGCCGAACACCTCGCAGGTGTCGCAGTAGGGCCGCTCCTCGCGCCGGCTGCCGTGGTGCGCCGAGTGCGGCGGCTCCTCCAGCGCCTGCGCCTGCGTCGGGCAGTCCTCGGTGTCGTGCAGGTCGAAGCAGCCGCAGATGTCGCAGAAGAGACGCGGCTTCTTCTTGGACAGGCTCTCCTCCTCACTGCAAGAGCAGCACCAGCACCAGTCAGTGTCTGTCACGCAGGAGCAGGGCCCATGGAGCTCAACCAAAAATAGGATACAAACCCTTCTGC